CGGACAACAGTACTCTAGTAGGCTTCTGACCAAAGACTTATATATAGGGTAGTCATTACGGTCCTATCACGAGTTTGAAGACACTAAACACCCATGACAGTGTGCTTCTAGCTTTCTTGACCATCAACTTGATCTCTGCGCATCATGATAACAACCACTCGCAAGGATTGTCACTGCTCACTTCAGACACACATCCACTTCACAGTACCACGTACAGCCTGCACAGAGCTCAGCAATCAATTCTAAATGGCTAGCTGATTTTGATAAAATAACATCGTGATCCGGCGTGATCAATTATTTTAATTGAAGTACAACGGCTGCACCCCTAACTTCTTAGCTAAAGATAAGAGACGCATATATTAGGACATTTGTAATCTGATAAAATTTAAAGTTTTTGTGTGTGAATTAAAGCTTGATGTTAGAATTAGTGTGGAAATAAAAGAGATATTTATTTTATTATTTATAAATTATATCATATATCTTAATTAGGTGACAGTATTATTATTTTAACTACAGATTATATTATTTCAGTTAGTATCGACATAAATTTTACGATTGCAGTTTATTTGTATATCATATTGTATTCAATAAACCGGTTCCAAAGCCCTTAAGGGTGGCCCTCGGGTCTTTAAAACATAATTTGTGGGGGCACGTGGTACCGACATGTTTCAGAGGACAGATAGAGACTCAGAATTGTAACCACAAGTCTAAATTCTTTTCATAAATCTAGACTTGTGGTTACAATTCTGAGGGTTTCATACTATTATTAATCACAGAATTATCCTGCTGTTCAAATATTGACAGAAAGGAAAGGTGTTCAGGAGTCGAATTGCTACAACTTCAAAATTCAGATTGCATAACAATTGTATAACTTCAGATTGGAGGACGGTCTATGGAAAGATATAAGAATTAAGCCTACTTCACAGCTATACTCTACAAAAGTACCTTCAGCGAAATAAGACGTCAACATCCATCTTGTTTATATCAATGATTGTGGAAATTACTTTTGTATTCTTTGTAATTTAATTCTTTAACGTTGTATTCTCTTAATACATTACGTTTGCTAGAATTCTTGTGTGTAAGCTTTAGAACTCTAGATGTCAAACAGAGATTTACGGCCAAGTGTCAACCCGGGGTTTGAAGCACGTTATACTAGTTTCAACTTTTATCAAACTGATCCATCGATTTCAGCTATGACATTTTTAGTTTTGATCAAACAAATAGTTTTTATTACATTGTGGCGTTGATTACATTAAAATACAGTTTGATGTTTAAAACGGGGCATATGAAAGTTTTTTATCTTGTAAAACCTCGCCTAATCGACGAAGTTACAGTCAGATCGAAAATTAGAAATAGCTTATTTTTAAAAGCAGTTGAAAGTGCTATTTTCAGAACCTGGTGGGTATTTAGTAGAGGCTCTTACGGGCAAAAAGACGTGTTTTCTGCTACGAGTTTAGAGACCTAACCGCTAATTGGACACAATAGTATGATGTCTAAGGATCGATAATATGTTAAGAAGTATAAATTTGGCCTTATTAGTCACGTGCTATACCAATGCGCGTTTTAAACTTTGACAGTCTATTACTCTAAGGCAAATAAAGTAATTATATTCATATTTTGTCAGCAATAAGATCACATTATTTTCTATTTAGTGTGAAAATATGAGCTAGAACGGACATAATCTCGCTGAGTTATAGCTGTTTGAAATTTATGATGAACGCGCGGGTGCCAATTGATAACAACTAAATGCTTTTGCGCGTAGTGCGCGTCGAAAATTTGGCAAAAACGCTTGCGGAGTGACAATATTCAAACTTCGATAAAGTATATGAAGTGGGTACTTCTCGGAAAGGAAAAATTTAGGCAAACACGATGTAACTATTTTTGGGTTGATTTAATACAACTGCAAAAAATTATTCAAACTTCAAGCAAAAAAGTCAAAATTTTTACCACTTTTTTGGATTTTTACCTCAGAACAAATAGAGGGATTTGTTTTATTTTTATACAATCTTGTGCGGCTGTCTTTTAGCTATCTTTATGCAAGTTTTGCCGACATGCGAACAAAATTAACTTGCTCAAAATATCAAAAAACATGGTTTTTTGGCCTATTTTTGGCCCAAAAATCGGTTTTTTGCGATTTTACCCCAGAACAATCAGTCCAATCATCTTGAAACCACTTTCAATCGATTTTACGGTCAAAAATACGTCTAGTAAGGTGTATCTGGGGTCCCTAACGTATCGAGCAGACAATGCCCGTAAGAGCCTCTACTAATTAGTCTAAAGATTCGTTGGAATTCATTACACTGACCATGACATAAGATCCAAATTGGGTGTTAGGGAAATGCAGCGGACTAAATGCTATTTTACAATTACATCCTCCCCGTCACTGATCAATCACATTTAAAGCTGCGAATGGTGTATTTGTTATGCCAACTAACACCAGAGCAGAACACTAAAACAGGAACTTGTTAAAGTTCAAATTTAGCACCGTAAAACTCAATGTATGGAATGTAACAGCCAATGTAATGTTCTTACAGGATCGTTGACATATTACGTAATCACGTCCTGAACAACGTTTAATTTAACCCCCCCGGCCCCCCCTCTCGGTGATTCCGTATTATGTGAACGACCCCTAATATGCTTACATCGAGGTAGTTCTTACTGATTTATAGCAACATTTATCATAGCAGCTTGTTTTTTAAATCATTGTTTCTTATGATACAAGTTTCGTTACCATTCGTATCACACATAATAATAAATGTCTATTAAATGACGTAGTGTAACTCGTCGGAAAACTCCTGGTCCTTTTTGTAGTAATTGTGCGGAACGCGCTTGCGCCGAATCAACAAGAATTGCGCCCGTTGTTTCGTTTTGGCGGACGCTAGATTTCCATTTCACTATAACTATTAATATAAGCTCTAATCAGCTCACCTTATAATAATAATATTGAACCATCAGTACACTACGCGTGCCACGTTCAAGTTGGGCTTATTACAAAATACTATACATTACTAGTATACATTGAAATACGCTCGTGCCGCGCATTCATTGACCACAGACTAGCTATACACCACATCTCCGCAAGCAATCCTCGCGCGCGTGCGCGCGGCAAGTTGACATGGTAACGAACGGAAGTAAGTAAGTAAGTAAGCAAGGAACACGACATATATTTGACCCACCAACTGCAATCCCCAAAATCCACGTTTTTCTGCAAAAACCTCCATTCGTAACCTTTCACTATTGCCTTTTTTCAAAAGGGTGAAAAGGAAAAAATATGTGTGAAAGTTTTTCTTGCGCGCATTTACTGTGACATAATGTAATAATTTGTAATTTGTAATTTTTTGTAATTTGTAAAGTTCGTAGATTCCTCTACATGACAGGGTCATCGAATATTTCGACCGCCCTTATTTTACAGTACACTATTTTACAGTATACTATGTGTCACGTGATAATCTGAAACTTTGAATGGTCATAACACCAAGAGATAAGCAACAGAGGTAAATCTGGCTACGTAATATTGTCAAGTAGGTATCTAGAAGTTGTGTGAATATTTTGAAATCAAATTCGAGCGTTTACTTTGTGATTTAACAAGGTGCGCGGGAAAAAGCAAATAACCGTCAGCACATGGCCATACAGCCTCCATAGTGGCATCTGAGATCGGCTATCGATGCGGCACTAATTACTAGTCCATAAAACAATCATCCCAGGAGCCTAGGGGCTCCATCAGAAGAGTGCCTTATTTGCCCGTAAGAGCCTCTACTATCTGTGATAATTTTAGCACCGGCGAACCACATGGTCTGGACTAGCAAAGTTCACTCAAAACGTTCCGCGCCCGCGGATAAGTCAATATTTGTGGTTTTCAGAGACCAGATATTGCCATTTTGGATCATAAAAAAGGCTTGATAAGTCTATAGATATCAAAACTCTATTTATCAGTAATGATCAAATTTATATCTAGTAGATGAATTTTGTGAGACAATCAGGAACGAAAGAAGACAGCGTTTTCTAAGCCAAGTATGACACAAGAATAGGCCATTCTACAAAACAAATAAAATGTTTTACAGAAAATGGGACCATTAAATCTTCTCGGTACCTATTTTACCATTTGCTATCAGTTCAGAACAACAATCGAACTTCTTGTCATAATTATGCATGAATCTATTTATACACTTATGTTCGACCTATAGAATTTCTTTGACAAATCCGAAATTTTTACAAGCATTATCATTTAACAGTTAACACCCTTAAATAGGGCGTGGCACTTTTTTCATCATGCAATTTAGTTTGGGTTTGTTAACGTATCTTTATTATTAGTTTAAGAGAAGTGAAGATATATTCATTTATCAAGGACAAATTGACATTAACAAATGTAATAAGATGTTAGCAAATTTTAGCAACGATTGAGCTCAAAAAAATAATAATGTATCCCCGAAAGCAAATCCATTAACACGAAAGACATTAACATTAATTCGACTAAAACGGGGGTAACTCGTGGAAAGTGCATTGTATGTTCAATTAAGAGGAAATCTAACTTTAATCATGATATTAATTCTGCCCCGTGAGAAATGAAAACTTGTTTTAAGTCTGACGATTTTTCTCGGTCGAATTTTATCAATTCCAAAACAACTAAAGCATGCATGAAATAATATCAATTACTCTACAGTAAAATAAACACGTGTCGCCTGTTGTTGCTGGTCGAGTTGTCTTAATATCTGTTCAATATCATTAAATAAAAGAGATAAGTTGGTTATTTATAAATGAAGTCCGAATGTTTACGTGATCATCAAGTCCAGCTGTACATAATCAAAAGTTTGTGGTGAAAATTAATAAATATTTACGTTAACATTTTTCGGCCTGCGTTTTTCGAATTATTCTCACACCAAACTGTAATCTTTATAAAAATCCTTGGTTTCAAAATAAAACTCAGCGATGTGCACACTGTTGAAAACGTCTACATTTATCAAAATCAGAATCGCAACTACAACCATTGGTCAAATACTCCAAATTCTCCAAATACTCCAGTGTTTCATGGGTTTTAGTTTTACAGACTTAAAATTGTGAGTGAAATCTACGAAAATAAATTAAACTGCTTCCATACAATAAAATTTAATCGGAAAAATGAGTCCTAAAGCAATCCTAAAGCAGTTTCTGCGGTAACCAGTTGGTATGGTATCCAGTTGGTATGGTAACAAGTTGTTATGGTAACCAATTGCTGTGGTAACCAGTTGCTGTGGTAACCAGTTGGTATGGTAACCAGTTGGTATGGTAACCAGTTGTTATGGTAACCAGTTGCTGTGGTAACCAGTTGCTGTGGTAACCAGTTGGTATGGTAATATGTTTCACTGCATTTTGGACATTTCGTATTTTCTGTGTTCGACCTCTTCATCCGAGTCCATAAGTTTCTCGAACACACTGAAATAATAATAATAATAAGGTATCTAATTAATGATAATTATTTTATAACTGATCGATTAGTGATTGTAAAAGAAAATTCGCCACAAAGTATGTTATATATGGTGAAGCCTAAAATGGAAATTAGAAAAAACAAATATTCGTACGTGTCTCCAAGAGTTGATGGGATATTTTCCTCCGCCCATTTTAGATCTCCGTCAATGTTTCCTTCTTTCTTCGTCGAGCCGTTCTTCTTTATCTTTCTCATTTTCATGCCCTCTGAAAATTAAGGAGTACAAAAATCAGTACAGTTATAACATATAAGCCATGTTTCATATTTGAGACCTGTAACTAAAACTTTGCAGATGGTATACTGTAACTTCTCATTCGACGATTCTGTCAACAAATTTTAAATTTTGATCTACAGAGGCACAATTAACAATGGATTACTTTAATACTCGTGTTTGCGAACATGCTATCAATTCCATATTAACATATGGAATATAATAAGACAATTAATAATTGTGTAGAGCTATCTCATTACCTTCTGCCCCAAATTTAAAGTTTACCTTACCTCTTACTTGGCATCTGTAGTTAATATTACCTTGTGTCTTACATCTGCATCTGGAGTTAACATTAGGTTGTGTCTTACATCTGTAGTTAACATTACCTTGTGTCTTACATCTAGAGTTAACATTAACTTGTGTCTTACATCTGTAGTTAACATTACCTTGTGTCTTACATCTGCAGTTAACATTAACTTGTGTCTTACATCTGACGTTAACATTAGCTTGTGTCTTACATCTGGAGTTAACATTACCTTGTGTCTTACATCTAGAGTTATCATCATGTTATAATACCGTACATCTGGAGTTAACGTTACATTAAACCTTACATCTAAAGTTAACATTATCCTGTACCCTATCATGTACCTTACATTCCTTATTCCGGTTTATTCGACATTCATTATATGAACTTTGCCTGATACAACAGTGTAGTTCGCATAAAATAGAACTTGTTTAACATTCCAACTCCGGGAATATAACTGGATTAGCAGCGGATTACAACCAGCCTAGCTGTTCCTCAACTCTTGACAGTAGATTCACCTAACTAAACAAATGCTGTACGGCATTTGGAAAGAAAGTAGAACGTATCATTATAGCTTTTCATATATTTGCCAAATGCCGAAGTCTTAATAACGATATTTTTCGTAATATTATATATGGACATATTTGAGTTTGAGGATATTGGTAAATATATGTAAGTGACCCTATTATATATCATTGTAATAATTTGAAAGATTATGTCTGTATGTACACTATAAAAACTAACCAAAGAATACTATTACCTTCCGGTGGCACTGATGACAGAGTAAAAACTGAAGTGCGCCAATAAAAAAATGAAAGCCGGTCACCACATTGTTGTTTCTGAGGAGGCATATAATGTGAATGTCGAATAAGCCGGAATCACTGATTCCGGGAATCAGGAATGTACATGATAGGGTACAGGATGATGTAAACTTTAGATGTATGGTTTAACTCCAGATGAACGGTTTTATAACATAACAGGAGGTGACCGGGACATGATTTTAGGCCTGACCGGGACTGGGACCGGGACCGGATACAAAATGTGACTTGACCGGGACCGGCACCGGGACTGAGATTATCAATTTACCGTGACCGGGACCGGGACCAATAATTTCTGGGATTTCTATCTTACCGGGACCGGGACCGGGACCAACAATCCAATTTTACCGGGATGACCGGGATGACCGGGACCAAAACTGGTATTCTCATATTGAAAGCTGCAACTTTCATTTACATTATAATTGAACAATTTGAATAAGTAATAACTAGAATATTAAATTAGAAAAAACTAGAAAAAACCCGTCAATATGGGGCATGGGCCTAATGTACTACACCAATAATGTTCATGTACTGATTACTCAAGTTCACCTTCATTCCTCATTCCTCAATCAATGATCCCTCAAATTATTCAACAGTTTCATTCTCCAATTCCAATTGACAATTGGGCGTAGCCCGAGTTGAAAACTTGATGTTAGTCTGCACTTATGAGTTATGTAACGATATTAGTTACCTAAACTTGTTTAGCAATTTTAAACATTGTTTTATTTGGCTCAGAGGTTGTTTAAAGATGAAATTCACAATGAATGAAAGTAAAAACTTAAAATCACAGTGAATGAAATTATGTAAAAGATCCCGGTCAAAATCCCGGCAAATTTGAGTGATTGACCGGGACCGAGACCGGGACCGGGACCAAGAATCCTGAATTAACCGGGACCGGGACCGGGATCATAAATCAGCATTTGACCGGGACCGGGACCGGGACCGGGATGAAAAATGTGACTTGACCCGGTTGACCGGGACCGGGATAGCTCAAAATTGCCAATCCCGGTACCGGGATTCCCGGTCACCTCCTGATTTGTACATAGGATTGACGAAGTGAGAGTCTCCACTGAGTGGAGACTCTCACTTCGTCAACTCCAATTCAAAATAAAATTAAACCGAGTGCCAAAAATCAGCAAACCATTTTAACCTCCAATTGACTAATTCCATTGATTTCACCATATTTTGCTCAAATATTTTTCACATTACACTAGTAGATATTGGAGTGAGTAACTGTTTTCAGCATTTTAGTCATTATTAGCAATTCCAGTAAGTCATACAATTCAGCAAAAAGCCATTTTTATATCTGAATACAACTGCTCTAAATTGATGGTTCTTGTCAAAATATTAATAAGATCGATCAAGGCGTGACTGTGTTTTTTTCTGGATAAGATAATGTTTGGTGATGATTGGTAGATTATTGTCCAGCACATCAGAGCTTAAGTTAAACTTAAAAATGTTAATTTAAATTTCGCTAAGTCACTGAAAATGTGATAGAATAAAAAACATTTTGTGCCCCAACAATATAAATTTAATGCGGAGAATTGGTATAAGCTGCTCTATTTCTTGTATTAATCAATTCCAACCATAATAGGAGTGTTAACATGAAGTATGAACGAAAAATTATCAAACCTTGATGATATACCCCCTTAATGATATTATGTGATGTATATTATCAAATTCATATTTTTAAAACAAGTATGCACATGGATGTATGCACAAATTTATATAGTGCAGAGGATCACTGTAATCAGCATATTCTTGTCGTCAAGAAGCAGTACACTAATTTCAAGTCAGATATTGAAGACAACAAGTTTGGACGAGGATTTTAAATATATAAAAGTGTATACATTGTTCGTAGTGTATTATTTGTAATAGATGCGAGTTATCAAATGTTTTATAGGAGTAGTCAAGAAGCTTGAGTTTTGGCGCTATGACGTGCTCCAGATTTTAGAAGATCTAAATATAAAATCTTTTAATGGGAATTGAACAGTGAGATTGGTTTTCTTTCTACATGATAACTCATATTGCTGGTTCAGTTATGTTGGGCATCTGAGTTTGAGTATTTTAAGGAGCACTCTCTTTGGGAAACCAAGCAACAACTATTTGTTATATATTATTATATATTATATATAATCTGGTGGATTCGTGTAGTGTTATTGACTTATTGAGTCTCATGATTTTATAGTTCTTTTATTCAAATTTCTGATAGTTTTAAACTATTTTCACAACTACAATTAAATACATTTATTGAGAATGTGAGTATGACGTAGAAATGACGATACGTTATTCAGCTATTTATTTCCATTAGAATTTGTCTTCACTGAGTCTATTCAGAAACAATCAGAAATTTGAATAAAAGAACTATATATAATTATAGGTATAGCTGATAGCACAGTGTATATGCAGCCTACACGGACCGCCTCTAACTGGCCAATCCCTGTTTACATGCCGTGTAGCAGGGGACCAGATAGAGCTAAACTAGTAAGCGCTAAGAGTAAGAGCTAACTAGTAAACTATATATACGTATATGTACGTATATGTAGAGATTTTCCAATTATGATTTCAAATGATATTATGTTTAAACAAGTTGGGGAAGTTTTGATAGTCAGCTTAAATAAATTGCATAAAATGACTGAGAACAAGAACTACCATAATATATAAAGAGTAACAACAAATAATTTGAGTTTTCACCTAACATTTCCATGATTAAATTGCTGTCAATCGATATTACTAAGTAAGCCGCCAAGGTAATGATGTAGACTTAAACTGTGAATGGCACAATTTTACAAACCAGCAAATTCATGAAAAAGACGACAAGTCAAACCTCAAAAATGTAACTAAAAATCGAAACCAGATATAAAGCTGCTTATAACGAAGTGACACTGCTTAAAGATGTATGAAACACTGATAGTGAAAAATCGTGATTGATAGATGCCGGAGTTGAATGATGAAGGTGTACATATGTCATATATGTACCTTGTTTTTGATGAAGCTTTAGTAGGACACGAATGGCTTGAGTCATCCTGATCCGGTAGATTTCCACAAAACGGTCAACCCAACAAAAACACGGCAGTAAATCTGAAATTGTTAACGAAATCACAAATTGGCCATTGGCGATGAACTTTAAGTTTGAATCACTCGAAGTCGAAAATAACATACCTGTGATCATGTATCACAGAATTTGATCGAGTAAAGTGTATAGTCAAATATAAAGTATAGAATAACTGAATATAAGGTGTAATAAGGTGTAATAAAATTAAAATACAATTGGGCTGTATAGTAAGGAAGATCCAAGGAGTGCCCTCTAAATGTGCCCGTGGAAATGTAAACAGTATCTACCACGCCCTTGACTGCAAACTAGGTGGATACGTTTCCATGCGCCACAATGCCATAAGAGAGACTGCTGCTTTCTTCCTCCGAGAAGCAAAGTGTAAAGACGTATATATATAAAGATAGAACGAGCACTCCTGATAGTCAAACCAATTTTGCAATTTATCCAATGCGAAAATGCGCGTTAGCAGTTGAATGAAAAAAGTTTGGGCGAGCGATTTAGTGAGAGCGGCAGCTTATAGGCTGAGGATGGTGCGTTCTGCGAGGATGGCGAACGGTAGATTTGAAAATGGGCAATGTCAAACAATGTCACAGAGTGTTGCCGACTCGAGTGGCACTGGGTGTAGTGGGCTCGTAGAGGAATTGGCTTCGTCTTCTGCTGAAATTGATTGTGAGACTAATTTATAATTAAATTCATTCAAGAGATAATCAGCATTGGAATTTGACTGATACGAACAGGCTTAATAGTTTAAATAATTACTTCTGTTATGCCCAAATTATTATCGCTATTATTACGCTAGGCTTGTTGGCTTTCTTGTAGCTATGTAGACATAGACTGCGCTCAGCGCTACATATCGCTTTCTCATATCTCAATATGTTAGATTCATCTCTAATTGGTACAGTATCGGAATACATTGTACTTGTAGGTAGTCTCTTTTAATATTGTATTGTAAATTTAGTAAGTTCGTTAATTCATATTTCTTCATTTAGTTCAGAAACAAGTTAAATTCATGCATCAAATTCAATGAATTTTGTCCCAAATTACAATTAAATTATTGACAACCTTAAAAAATCTTAAAGTATAATGGTTTTAATACTACTTTATCAAATCAAAGTAAGATTAACCCCTTATATAATTGCATAATTTATACCCTACGATAAAATGTAACAAAAAGTGTTCGCATCTTATTATTATATCATTAACATACAATTCTTAGTGTCCAAACCCCATAGACCGGATCTAGTTGAGCATGCAGAACATGAACACAGCCAGGTCGTAGTATCCTGACTCATCCATACCATGCTTCACCATCTTCCTCCACACTTTCCAGTGTTCTGCACTGTCTGCGTGCACTGTCAAAACTCCGTCGTCGTCTACTAGCTTCTCCGCTATATCTTTCAGCAGCTGGAGTTGTAAGAGTTGTCAATAAGAAGAGCATCGTATCTCAGAAAAATTTGCAAGAGATACGATTATGTTTATACATATTAGGACGGAATGAAACTACGGGACCACGATGTATGGGGACTCCGGGACTTGCCACCCCATGGCAACATTAAAATATATCGACTCTTAAGTCTTATGTATCTAGCTTACCTCAATATCGGAGAGATCAAAGTCAATTCCATCGAAGTCTGCTTGTGACCCCTCGCCACTGAATCTGAAGGTATATCTAACACGGTAGCCTATGTCGTACCTGCCAGGGTCAGCTGATCGTTTCTCTCTAGATTCGAGGTCTGAAATTATAATTTATTTGTATACTAAATGGTGTATATATATAAGGTATATACTGGTCCTTACGTCCTCAATCACGACGAAACTTACAATGATCTGTAATGGTTTTGTTTCCAGAGGTAATTCCAGGGTACTTGATCTTGAAGGCCATGAGATTCAAATAGTTCAGGATATCGTTCTCTGCAACATTGGTTGCACAACCACAGACATCAGACTCAGGGTCCAGTAGTCGTTCTACCAACCTATACTGCTCGGCGGTGTTATCCCAGATCTCAGCCATGTGGAAGGCGTGGGTCAGTTTATCGAGGGTGTTGAAATTGGTAATTCCCCACCAGGTTCGGTTCATGTTCCTCATCACCTGTGCAAGGTATCAAGGTACTGAGAGTCTTATTTGAGCACTGAAGAAATTTATTATTCAAGTATTCGGACAATTATGCCTCATTAATAAGTCCCTTAAGCTAAAACACTCAACGTATCTCCCTCGTTACCATAGTCACCACACGTACCAAGTCGAATGTCTTCATGCTCTGTGTCGAGAAGTCTTCATCGTACCCTGCTAACGGTGCGTTGGGTAGAATCCTCGTGTCGCTCCTCAGATCCATATTTACTGAAATATCATGTATATTAAATAATGTCGTTCACTTCACTAATTTTAATTGGGAAACCCATTCATATTAACTATAAATAGCATGCATTATGGTGGTAATTGGCCACAACCGTCGTATCTTTTTGGCAAGAGAAAGATACATATCTTAATCAAAATATGCGAATTACCTGTTGGAACGCCATTTTCCTCCGTAGCATCCTTCTTGAAAAAGTAACGGATATCCTCTAGTGTCAATGAATGTATGCTATGTGCTACCATTGGGGCAAACATCCTTGATATTCCGGCCGCATCTAGGATTCTCGGGCATTCTTCAGAAGTTGGACCTAAATTGTTATTCGTCATTTTTATTGTTCACAGAAGAGAGTTTCTACTTACTGGAAATGGAATACGTTTCATTTTCGCTCGGTCAGTGAATATTTATAATGGATACAATGTCTTATAAGTTATACAATATCAAAAGTAGAATTGTATGATATTACCAATTAGGAGTGATAAACATCAAAAGCTTTTATAATGATATGTTTGATTACCTGCTCCAACAGTTCCAATTAGAAATACGAGGGCTACAAACATCATCTTGTTCTGGTGTTAAACGATCAAAACTTTGGGAAGATTTAAAAATGCAAATTAATTCCTACTCAATAAAACCCCAAAATACCGTGCACTGTCATCTTGTGAATGAATTGTTCGGCCGAAAAAGGTTAAATTCATAACTTTGAGACCCGGCGTTCCGAGGCAACAGGATTTCGGAGATTCATTGTATGAAACGGTGTCTTGAAATACAAGAAAAACAGATGTTATATAAAAGCATATGAAATTCGAGCGTGCTAAATCACTCTACAATCGATCTTTGAGATTGTTCTAAAAGGGCCCCCGACAGTTGTAACCAACAGCAATCGATGTATTTTCGGACGCTGATTCCGAATCACCCTACATGACATAGGGTTAAAATGCTCCCCTAGCTGACGAGATATTAGCGAACAACTATCTCGATCACGTGATATGACCGTATAATTAAAGGAAGTTAGTCTAATTTCTCGTTAGGGTTAGGGTTTCAGCATATGCTTTTGTTAAGGATTGGGTTAGGGTTAGGGTTGGGATCAGATTAGAGGGATAGGGTTTCGAATAGTCGTTCAGGACCAGCTAGAGAACGGGTTGAAAAAGTCACGTGACAGTCGAGTGTAGAGTGATTAATCATCATCCTATGAGAACATGAAAAAATAGCATGATTTATGACAAAAAATAGACCAAACATGACGGAAAAGTTCTCTTATGACTCTGAAAAGAGTCAAAAGATTATTTGAACTCCTCAACTGTGAGCAGTGGTGTTAAAAGGGCTTACAGAAAATGAAAACGCGTTGCTCATAACGCGACAGTATCCTTCTAATCAGGGAAACGCGTGCACATTGTGATTAATATTTCATAATTCGATCAATTAAATCAGATGATAAAATGTCCCGTGGATATTATTACGTTCCTCAGCGGAAAATAAGTTCGGGAGAGATTTAACTTTAAGGTCAATAAATTTGGTTCACAATAAATTTGGTTCATTATAAAATTTTGGTCATACATCCGGATCCCGATGGCACTGTCGCGGCACTCTCGAGGCATTCACGTGGCATTATGGCGGCGTTCTCGTTGCACTATCGTGGCATTCTCGTGGCACTATGGCAGCAATATGACGGCACTCTGGCGGCATACTGCCAATTTTCAATCATGATCGTTCAAAAGCATAAGACAATCGTCAATTGAATTTAGTCTAAACTAAATTTGTCGTTCTTAAGGTAATCTACATTTTATCTTAATTGCTAAATCCTGATAATGCCCCACGTATCCCTAATCTCAATATATCTTCCTGGTTTATAAAGGCACCGATTTCATAATGCTAGGATACCGTTATATCGGGGTCTCTGCAGTCTGCACGATAACTATAAGTATTACCGTATTGTGGATCTAGTTAATATGAATAAACTCTTAATTGTGCTTGATACATCAGTATCTTGATACATATAGTTATCTGAGAAGCTTAAGTCTCCATTTTTTCTATCTCTACTATAATTCAAAGAATTATTTCTGATGTAGAATGTAGAATGTATGTACGACCGCCCACATGCAAATCAGACGAGAAATAAGAATTTAGGTAACAACCAAAAGGTTCCATAGCAACGGTGTTTTAATGCACACATGCACGTGCAAAGATTATTTTAACGTCATTTTGATCGGTTTTGTGGTAATTACGTTGTGTTTAAAGTGTTTTATATTTAAATCGGTTGTATCTTCGGTCGGGATGGATCCTTTTTGATGCGCTTAAAACTTTCTTTCAAAGAATACTACTAGCTTCGTCCCTGTTACCACGGGCTTTCTAGTTTAGTATAATATTCTTTTTCGGTGCAGTTTTTTCTGCTCATTTTGGGTTAAATTGACTACCAGTTAAATTTCAGGGGTCAAGAGTGGGGTTAAATTCAATTTATAAAACTTTCTTAGATTCAATATTAAATTGCAGTTAAATTGAAGCTATTAAGCTGCCAAGTTGTAAATTTTTAACAGTGTTAAAAATTTTAAATGAAAATTAGGCATTACCCGGAAAACCGGATGAGATAAGGAGCAAATTATTATATAACATTGTCCATGAATCAATTTGTGTTGCACGATGTATAATCAAAAGTAAGGACTTTTGTCAAATTCAAGCGTACTCCATTTTACCAACTTATAAAAATTTCACATTTAACGAACTTAAGTCACGATTATAAATTGCCCTTGCAATAGCATCAGGGTAGCATGAAACGTGAAGAAAAGAAGTTTCCAGCATGAACCAAGGAGAAAAGTGGTTTCTAGAAATCCACTTTCATAAGAATTTCTTAACCCACTCGCCTGCTGACGTAACCTTGTTAGCCTAAAACTTGACCACTATAGACATAAAGTTGACCACTAGACATATAAAACTTGACCACTAGACATTAGCTTGGCCACTAGAGTCTAGGCATAAACTTGATCACTACTAGACAAACAATGAAATCGTGCAGTAGGTGAAATCAGTGCTGTTATTGATTGTCACTTGTATATATATAAAATGTTCATTTAAAAAAAATGAACACCAATATTGATATAATCTTCGAACTATAACGATAATAGCACGTCATACTAGAAAGAATTATAACAATTATAGGGCGCTCAGCGACTGAATAATAAGCCTCAACGTATGTGTATTGACTTTCGCCCCCCTCCCTTTTG